TTGTTAGTGTAGCATTATCACTTATAATGTCACCAGGAGCAGCAAAACAATGCATATAAGTATTATTATTGATTTCTCTTGCATGAACTGATAGCTGTCTTCTTCTTATAGTTCCATTAATAGTGTCTTGACCTAATTCAGTAAATCCTCTGTTTATATTGATAGTTTCAGATGCTGGTGTTTCACCAACATAAAAGAATATGAAAGTAACTCCAGTTGCTTCACAAGTAAAGGTCACAGTTGAATTAAGACTTGTATTCAATGATACTGGTTGGGTTGTATACTCTGTGAGACAAAATCTTATTAGGAATCCAAAAAGAAGAAAAAACATCTTAGAGAAAACGGACATTATTTTGATAGCTCTAAAATAATTTAGATAGCTCTAAAATAATTTAGATAGCTCAGGCGTGGCTAATTATCTATGACCTCATCATTGACCTGAGCCAGCACATGCTGCCATCAGCTTTCTCGGGAGACTGTCCTCAGCTATGACCAAGGCTACGACCAGTCGTTTTCTGTGTCTTTTACTATATTTAACATTTCTGCCTCCATTCTTTATCGGTGCAGGTAAGTGCTATCTTGTACTTATAATAGAGCATGGCAAGCTATTTGTGTCAAAAGCACTGGCGTCATGATAAAACCAGTAGCCTAGGTAATAATTTATTGATGAGTGCATGCATTATTGATAAACATTATAAGTTGATGATGATAATAATAGATCTAATAATAATCTGTTTTAACTTGTTTATTTTCATATTTTGTGATACAATTTTTTTATTATTGTTGACTAATAAATAATTTTCTAAATGGGCTTTCCCTTTTTGTTTTGTTGTTTTTTTATATTGTCGTGATTTCATAGTAATAATAATAATAATAATACCTATCCTACACTGCATTATTAATAATACGCGGTGACTATAGGTCTGGTAACTGGATTTGCCTGGCAGAACTATACGTCCGGCAGTGGGTGTGTAGGGCTTCACCCCAGTATACTAATACACAAATTTATATACAGATATTAAGTATAGATATGACAATCAGCAACATTGAGGTAGCAGGATCATGGTGGCACAGTGGGGAAGGCGCTGGGATGGATCTGGATGCAGGGCACTTGTTCAAATCTAGCTAAGATCTTGGCGAAATTGCTGCCCTTTCTTGAATTTTAAATATTCAATTCCTCACCTTTTATATCATTTTATAGTTAGCTACAATGTATGTTCCTAGTTATATTAGGGAGTCCCCTAGTTAGCTATTGTTTTTAGGGTTTAGGGATTATGGCGGTGGTTTTTTTAGAGCTCCCCTAGTCATATTAGGAGTTCTCCTAGTTATGTTAGGCAGTGGCGTAGCTGGGGGGGGGGGCCTGTCACAGAAAAATCTGTCCCACCCAAATTTTGTCCCATGAGACAAAATATTTTATCCTAGGACAAAATCTTTCAGAAATATTTTGTCCTAGGACAAAATTTTTCAGAAATATTTTGTCCTAGGCAAGCTTTTATTGTCCTACCATAGGACTAATTTTTTTGTCCTAGGACAAAATAATATATGAAATATTTTTGTCCTAGGACAAATTGTATCTGAAATATTTTATCCTAGGATCATAATATTATGCATATATAGACTATTTTGATAAGGAAAATTTACTTAGCACTCAGTATTAATAATAATAATAATAATACATTTCATTATCGCACAATAATTGTCTTCATGCAACTTTTACAACAATTACATCACCAAACATAGTCCTTATCAGTCCAAACATCTTCTGGTATTTGTTCACACTCTACGTGATACCACTCCTTACATTAAGAACATTTTACCATTCTTCCTTCATTACTATAAGTTGTCTACACAGGCAGTATATAGGTAACCTGTATTCTTTGGATAGTCCAGGGCATCTAG